TTATAAGTTTTTTTTGTTAACCCGATGCCGACATCTAACAGCTTGAGGTGGGCAAGTTATTGCCGACCTCATTTTTCCTAATTCTGAGTGTTGAATAACAGAGTGAAGACTAATCGTAGGGCAGTTGGAGAGGTCAAAGTATTTTCTAGAATTTTTAAAAAATGGATCCACTTATTTAACACTTAAATATATATTATATATACGTTTATATTCATATTATGTATGCATAAATGCGCATCTTTTCATGGGTCTAATCTTTTCATAGGTCGTTTAACAAAAATTAAAGATTGTTCTGGAGAACACTTTTTTAAGATTATAATGGAAATCTTGTTTGAAGCACAAATCGTTGAAGTACTTAATTGAGGATTAACTTTAACATTGAAAGCCAGAGTGATTAGGATGTTTAACAATGGGTTAATCTGCGTAACTGGCATGACAAGATAAATATGTCCGTAAGATTCAAGAGTTAAGTAATTGATCATATGATCATATGAAATTTTTTTTTTCTAGCTTATGTTTAGCTTAGTGATTGTTTATTCAGCCTATTTCTAAAATCATTTCTGAAATATCTAAACAGTCGTGGTCAAGTTGTCCAAAAAATAAATCATTTGTGTGGTCAGCAATAGGGCGCGATCGCACGCCATTCTTGTCCAAGCCTGCTGGCCCTGGCTATATTTTATCAAACCCAAAAAAATATTTCCAATATTTGATTGCTTATAAAATAGGGCTTAAACAAGGTATTCAAAATTATAGACATAAAAGGTGTATATGTAGATATACAGTATTTAATAATTTAAAATATTTAATTTAATATGTGCTTACAAAGTTGCAGTCAAAAGAACCATACTTTATGAACTTTTCTAGTATATTCAAGAAAGTTTTTAATACAAAACAAAAACATGTTACTTTTATTTAAATAATAAAGGGTATTTTAGATAAATTGAGCACTTTTAAATTTTCCAAGAATGTTAACTTTTCTTAAGAAATTAGTTTTTCCAAATTTTCTATTTACCAGAATTTTGGCTTCGAAACCAAAAGCTTGTGTGATTTTCTTTTTTTTGAAAATGCTAGTCTTATTGGTTTCTTCAAAAAAAAATTCACCTTTTGTAGTTAGATTTATAATTTGCTGTAGTCATTTAAAAACCAGATTTAGATATCCTCGCACAGTTTTTAACATTTTTTAATATCCTTTGTATTATGTGAGTACAGATAAGATTCATTAACCTTTTTTTTGAGTTTTGAGTTTTGAGTTTTGAATTATCTGGCCAAACATTAAATTCTGCATAATCGCACCTTTAATGATTATATTTTTAGAAGTTGACTTTACTACATTAAAAACTTTTTAAAAAAATTTTTTTTTTTTTCTTTTTTCATTTATTTTTGTTGCTTTTTCAACTCTACAGTAAAATGATTTCCCAGACATAATGGTACTAGGTTTAAAATAAAAAACTAAGGTTTTCTTACATTTGGATTCTGCAGAATTAATTATGAAAGATAAATAACAAAGAAAAAGCCTGGATTTGTTTTGACTGCTGCAATTATAAAGAAATAGTAAAACTTTTTTGAAACACTAATATTCTGATAAAAATAGGTGATTTGTTACATATTGGGAGTGACCAGTAGCACTTTAATATTGTACTTTAGTTCTAGTTTATTATTTGAGAAAAGAGACAAGTGTGCACTTGTATCTTTTCTCAAATTGAAATAAAAATTTCATAATATCCAGTTGAACATGTTATAAACATTGTAGCTTTAAACTTATCAATTCAAGGAAACATTACAACTTTTTGAAAATCTGCTGACCCAATAAGTGAATCTTTATCCATTTTAACATTTTTGGTAAATAGATACAAGCTCATTAGCAAGTTGATAATGAGCTTATATTGATTAATTTATCTTTTTTTATTTTATCTATAATTTTATTTTAACTATTTGTCTATTAAGTAATGTATAATTAATGACCAGTTTTATTCAGAAGAAAAAAAAAAACGGTTTTTGATTTTAAGAATACTGAACAAAAAAATTGGTTAACAAGTTGTGGTCTCCACCGGTTGCCAAGCCCTAGAGACTATCAGAAATGATTGTTTCACCAAATCATAAATGTTATGACAGTTAAAAAATGATAACTGAATTTAAAGATTAGGTTTGTAAGATTGATTGTTAAAGTATTCTAATGTTTCAATATTGAATTCCAAGATTCCAATGTTCCAAAGTAATATTTCAATGAAATTTTGGACTTTTTGGACTGATTTTCAAACAAATAAAAAGTATAGGTATAAATGGTATATGCGTAAAAATGCATTTATTATGCGTAAATAAACACCATTTATGATAGTGAAATGAAGTCATATTAAGTATATCTATAAATAGCTTAGAGAAAAACTCAAAATTGAATATCATAACATTTACAACTCTTCTGAAACAAGCTTACTCATAATTTCTCGTTTTTGAGGCAAGCACTCCCCAACCAGCAAGTAATATTGGGCACCACATAGGGCTTAAGTAGGCAGTTTTATGGCGCCCAAATGGGTTGCCCACACCCCGTCCAATGAAAATTGTCATTGGGAGTGAATTGGGGCCCAAGTGGGCAGTCCAAATGGGCTGCATATGTGGCCCATATGGGTCCCACATTTTTATTTATTTAAATTTTTTATAACAATTTGAATAATTATTTTTTTATTTTTAAATTAGATACATATAATTTGATATGTAGTCATAAATATATAACTTGAGTATAGCTTTATAGAAGTATAACAAGGAATCAAATGTTTGAAGAAAAATATAAACACTAATAATCATTATTAAACATACCACAGTACTTTAATTTTAAAATAGTGAAAGTAATAGCCAAATATAAATAAGTAAATTTAACCCTTGGGTTTAACTAAGATGTAAACGTTAATAGTCTTCTTCAAGACGTATCATTTTATATACATTTTTGTTATGGGTATATAAAAACTCAAATAGCGTATACACTATCAAAAACTTTTTTATACATAAAAATTTTTTTTCAGTCCTTTAAAACTGACATAGTAACTTTTTTGTTTAAGTTCTCTTTAATGTTTAAATAAATAATTTTCAAATACAATTTAAAACTCTTTTACTACCACTAATACATTACATTAATAGCACTATTACAGAGTCTATAAAATGATTTGACTTTAAATACAAAAAAGATTTTTTGAAAAAGAGTTAACTTGAATTTAGTTTGAAATTTGAGTAAAACTTTGAGACGTAATTACATTTGAGAAACATAAGAGAGTTATCATTAAGTAAGTGTGGTATTGTGATTTATACTCTTCCAGCTAATTGTCTAGCAGAGTACCTTGTACCATCGCACGTACATTTAACCAGTATTCTCCTTTCTGAGCACTCTGGTCTTTGTACGGGTTGAGATTGTTGGGGAAAAAGAAGATATTTTAGTGAAAGGCAAATATATTAGAGTTAAAAAGATAGCATAGAGAAAGACAGATCGATCATTTAAGAAACACAGGAACTAGAAAACCCTAAGGCCGATTAAGGACTAATATTTTTAGTGTTGTTCTTTTTCAAACACGAAAACAATAACAAAGAAGATACTAAAGGTTGTACGCATTTATTGTCTTTTTATGTCGTGTTATATAAAAATTGTTATATAAAAACCCATAATATAAAAAAATCTTAATATAGCCACTATATATATCTTTCTTCAACGAAAATTAAAACTATATTATTTTCTCAAGACACATGATAATTCATGGACCAAGTCTTTAATTAAACATATATGCGCCCAAAATGGGCACCATGTGGGCAAACCCTTGAATACAAATTTGTATTCAAGAGCTAGCCCACATGGGGCCCATTTTGGGCCCTTATATAAAGCCCACATAGAACCCACTTGGACAATCCCATATAGGCCCCAATAGGACATGTTCGGTGGGTGTAGCGCATTGCTACCACATGTATCAATTCTTCTTTATATCATCTTTATAAGAAAAAATTTTTTTCATATCCATCTTAATCTTAATTAAAAAATAATTGTACTGTTTTTGGGCATTTTGAAAAGAGGCAGATGCATAATATTTTGTGTATTGGAGATACCTAGACATGGAGCTAATTCCAAATATTTATATATTTGTATTTATGTCAAATAAAGATACTTAACTAAAGTCTGAGAACAAAAGAAGATTTTTAAATATCAATTCTTATATATCAAATAATCTACAAATAAACTCCATAAAAAACAGCTTTCTTAGTGATTAAATTTATGAAAACCAACTTTACTCATCATATAATACCTTTAGATCTTGTTCTTAATAAGAATCATTTAATAGCTTTCTAGCAGAGTTCCTCAAATTTTCAAAGAAACATTGATTTAAATTCATCCTATTAATTCTTCACACTACACTCATTTTATCTTTTTAACTTAGAACAGTTTTTCTATCAGTTTATCTTAGTGAAATCAGATAGTCTTAGTAAAACGTGACATCCTAAATTGGTCTTCTAAAATATCTCAATATGTTCTCACACTACTACTTTTAAACTTTTTATAAGCAAAAAGACACAAAAACAGTACTGCATGTTTATCATAAGTTATTTATCCCACCAGTCTCTTTAGTTGCATACAGAACATTAGGTCTAGAGAGCAGGAAAAACACTACTATTATAAGAACATTTTGTAACTTTTAAAAATCAAGCAAGCAACACTATCTGGATCAAACGAAATAAAATCAAGAAGAAACTCATTGTTCATGAAAACTCAATATTGCCCTAAAACCTATGTAATCAAGTATAGATCGAATTGACGCACTCATAAACATCTGATAAAAATCAATGAAAGACTTAATCAGCAGGAATCAATTGATTATGAATAAACAACAAATATTGGATATTTCATATCATCAAATTAAAAACTAGCAAAAAATAAAATAAAAAAATACAAAGATGACTGAAACAGTATCAGTAAAACCACATGTCAACCTGCAAAGATCAAATATACATAAACATATACATAAAAATACCTTTGCATTGTTTACAACATTTTTCAGGATCATATTCTTGCAATAAACATGTAAGTGTCTCACACTTTTCACGCTTTATTAAGCATACTTCATTTTCATTCTAAATAGGTTTTATATATGTATATATTTGTGTATGTGTGTGTGTATGTATAAATATATATATATATATATATATATATATATATATATATATATATATATATATATATATATATATATACATATATATATTACATCTATATATATATATATACATATATATATATATATATATATATATATATATATATATATATATATATATATATATATATATATATATATATATATATATATATATATATATATATATATATATATATATATATATATATATATATATATATAGATGTAAGTTGTTTTTTTGGTTCTTGTTTTTTTGCCAAAAAAAACTGAGGACTTCGTTTTTTAGTTGTTTTATTTTTTTTGCATTTTTGCCTTAAAAATTACTCTTTTTGCATTTTAAACACTGAAATGTGATATTTATTAAATACTTGTTTTAATACTTCCATTTACCATATTTTTAGTAATGTCTTGTTTAGCAATTGTTCAATTATTCAAAAAAAAAAAAAAAAATTTGAAAAAGCAGCATTAATAAGAAAAACAATGTTTTTTTTTTAAAATAATTTTTAATAATAATTCTTATAAGTAAAGACAAAAAAGTAAATTTTTATAAGTAAAGGCCATGAATTGTATCTTTTTTAATATTGAACTGTTTTAAGAATTTATTATATAAATGAAGTAAGCATCACAAAATAAGTCAGATCCGGAAATTTTTGGTGTGGGTGTGAGGGGGAATTGGGGCTTGTTAAAAATTTTGTTTATTTTGTATCACATTTTTGCCTACTAAAAAAAATTTAAAAAATTTTAAAGATATTTTATAAATTTATGGATTCTGGTGCGGGGTGGTAGGTTCATACCTCTCATTTCCCCTGGATCTGTCACAGGTTTTAAAATTACAAAATTATTTTTCAACTTCTTCAACTTATGTTCATTAAATTTTTCATTAATCCATAATTTTTTTTTGAATAATAATAAATGTATTATTTAATGGAATGAATCAGAATTATCTAAATAAATATTTTTATTATATGAAAGAAATATATTTATTATATAAAACACTGCTTTGAAAAATAAAAAAAGGTAATCATTTTCGTGTTTAATATAAGGAAAATAAATAATTTTTTAGAGGCAAAAATCTTGAAATTAAAAAAATATATATATAACTGTTTAGCCATTTTCCTAATCAAAAAGACAAATATTTTTATACCACTTTGGCTAAACACTCTGTTTACACAAAATTAGTAAACAAATATACCATAAGAGTTTAAAAAAAATCGCCAAAAAAAACAAAAAAACACAGTTTTTTGGGTAAATAAAACGCGACAGCAAAAAAACGCGTTTTTTTGCAACACTATATATATATATATATATATATATATATATATATATATATATATATATATATATATATATATATATATATATTATATATATATATATATATATATATATAAATTTTATTGCTTCTTAAAAAACTACAAAAGAGCAATATAAATAAATGCTTATATGTGCAAGGAGTATAAATGAATGCTTTTACATGCAAGGAGTGTTGGTACATAGACAGACAAATAGGTAGAACATGCATTAAGTGCTGCTACAATGACTGAAAAATAGGTCTGGAGATATTAATTTTTAAAAACATAAAGTTTACATTTTATGGTAAAAAATAAAGCCAACTAAGCAAGAATATATATAATAGAAACCTGAACAAATGTGTATAAAATAAAACCTAAAAGAATTTGAATAAAAATGCAAATAAAACAACTAAAAAATTTCAAAAAATTGTTGCTTTTGAACAATCTTAATGGAAATGAGTCAATTTCTATAATGGGTCAATTTAATAAAACTGCAGTTCAGAAAGTAAACTTGCATATGTAAATGTAATAGCTTTCAATAATAAAAATTAGTTATTATTGCTAATATTTAATATAAACTATAGTATTTATTGAAATAAAATTAGCTAGTGCTTTTTAACAACATTAACAAGCACCAGGTAAAATAAACTTCACAACCCATCTAAAATTATATACAAGTAAAAAAAAATAATTAAAAAAGCACAGTTAATTATAAAGCATTATTTTATTTTTAAAAATTAATTTAATAATTAATCCTTTCTCCTCCAAAGAAGTCATGATTTTTGCAAAAAGTTTTGAAGGGATTGTGATAATACTAACTAAGCATCCATTGTAAGATACAGCAGGACGAAGTCTCTTGTTTGATAGAATTTTATACAGATAAAACCACTTGTTTATAATATACATGGGCTATTTATGAACTTATTTACCTCTTCGTTGCAATAACATTTATAGCATGGATTTATTCTTAATTCAGGCAATAATCCTTTAATATCGTTGACTTTACATTTTTTAAGATCTAAACATAAAAAAAATAAGCATTGTTATTCCATTTGTTTTATTATTTGTAATTGTTATACTCAACTATTTTTTATATATAAAATTGTTTTTTTTTTATATTTACTATTTTTTATTTATTTCTTAGAAATAAAATAATGACATAATTGTTTAGTTTTTTGTTTGTGTGTTTTTTAATCTATATCTCTTAATTGTATGCATATAAATATATTTAATAAATAATAAGATTTATTTAATTTATTTATAAATAAAATTTTAAAATTAATTCAGATACTCAATTACTTCATTAATTAATATGAAATATTTATCTTAATGAATTTAATGAAATATGATTTGTGATATATTTATAAAACTGAGATTTGCTAAAATGTCGTGACCAAGGTTACAACAACGCTGGCTCTGGCAAGATAAACAAAACTGGTAAGAAAAAAGGCGCGAACTTTCTGCTTAAATACTCTTCCGCGGTGTTATGTAATAAGACTGTTAGATTTTCACCTTAACAATTAAGTAAAAGAAAAAAAACATTAAAAAAATGTTTTTAACAGTTTCTCTAATTAAACTTACTTTTCCAAGTAAATGTTAAGTTCCTTTGGAGCATTTAAATCAACCAGAAAAACGTAAGGATATCTTAAAATGAAGAAAAAGTTCTAAAAAAATCTAAATTAGTCCATAAATAAAAAAAAGTAGTTTGCATGTACAATATGTGCAAGTAGTTTGTATATGCAACATGCTTTTTTCACAATGCTTAAATAATAGAAAATGCGTGGAAAAAGAATGTAAGTGCATTAAATACAATACCATTGGAATTTAATGTATCGTAATACAATACACTACAATCAGAGGCCAATTTTACCATTGCTGAGGTCAAGATCAAAATTCATTATTGGCCCTTTGTCTTTCAGGATAACTGATAATACATTACCCGACCTAGGAATTTGATTAATGACATAAATTCATTAACAAAAAAACTAATATCTAATAAAAATAAAAAAATGATACAAGAAAGTGTGCATTCAGCAGTTGTGTTACTCTTTTTATAGGAATAGTGTTAGTTATTCAGATTTGAAATGTATTACTTTTATCGTACCAGGATTTTATTTTGCTTCCTAGTTTTTCAGTTACCTAAGCATTTGATGATATCAGCAAAGTCGATTTCCCTCACAATGTCACTTGCACTACTCATTAAAACCAGGTTAGTGAATACTCATAAAAACCAGGTTAGTGACCCATTCTTACGTTAGGCAGTTCTTACGTGTGAAGCCTCGTTTTGGTTCGTTGGGTAGAGTTGTTTTAGCTACGCAGCTTGTTTCTGATAAATTTCATTTATCAGAAACGTACATTTTGTTACGATCAGCACTATTAGGGAACTAATTTTTTTTTCCTCAATGTTAACATTAAGGAACTCATTCTGATGTACAGAATGAGTTCCCTAAACGTCGAGATATATATTAGGGAACTCATTCTGTACACTTTTCTGGTGTAAAAGCGATTCCATGAAATTTTCCAAGCTTTCGTTAATTCGTTCTTTATCAATAAAAACCTTCACAAAACTCTTTTGATTGCAATACGTAAAAAATACGTCTATTTCCATTTTAATTACTGAGAACTTATTAGCATTGTAAATATTGCATACTTTTTGCAATGTCAAAGAAAACTGAGTAAAATATTTATTAATAATAATAATTTAAAAAGTCAAATCTATTTCACTCTTCCTTTAAAAATAGGTGTATGTTTGTGCTTGACCTGACACCATCCTGCACAACACGACACTAGTAGTATTCTATATAAAAGTAAAAATGCATAAATTTCTCTTTAAAAATGTATAAATGAAAAATATTTATGTTTTTGAAAGATGTTAGCATGATATTAAAATTTGAATTCATGAGTGTGAATATGTTTTTAAAAATTGTAGCTGTAAAGATACCCGGCTTAAAGATAATCTCCAGAAACAAAACCATATCTTTTCAATTGACTATAATGGATAAAGTTTTTGCTCAATATAAAAATAACCCCGAATGTATTACTTCATGGATATCCGCAGATAATTAATCAAATTTATATTGATAGTGTATATATTCAACAACGTATTTCAAGTCTCAAATTACTGGACCACTTTGGACTACAAAAGCATTCAATTAAAATTTTAACTAAAAAATGTACTTAAAATGCGCCGTAATTTAAAATCAATTTATTTGATATAACTTAAGTTCAAAATAGTGTTGCAATAGCTCATTGGAGAGATAATAATTAATATTATTTAATTATGCAACAAAAAGAGTGGTTTTAAAAAAACCAATTATTTTATGCTTATTTGTAACTGAAAAAAATTATCAAATTTGAAAAAAACAAAGCAAAAAGTAAGTTTAAAAAAAAAAATCCTTTTTATTCAACAACTTACATTTGGCATAATATTTATACAAAAGCTTATACATTTAATAAAAGTTAAATGTTTAAGTTATAAAATGGTATATAATAATGTAATTTTTGAGAATGTTTTTGTTTTATTTAAATAAAAATAAATTTTTTGGTTATAATTAATAACTTGTTTGTCTTTAAAGTGTTAATCAGCCTTTTATCTTAGTTTATTTACTTTTTTAATAGTGATCATAACAAAGTATTTTATATCAAAATACGCTGTTTTAAAAATACCCATTTTTATACCAAAGTACCGTATAGGTAGGGTACCTCGACACAAATTTCTATTTTTACTTTAAATAATAAAAAGCAAAAACCAAAAGTGTGTCAATCATGGTCAATCTTTCCTGCACAACTCATTGTTTCATAGTCACTCTATCATACACAACTTATTATTTTTTGTTTAATATAACTTGATGTAAAAGCTTAAAACGGTGATAGCTAAAAGTAATGTATCAAAATATGCTTACTTCCTGGCTGTCGTCTTCATTGTAGACAGATAGTTTACAGATAGATAATAGTATTTTTAAAAAAATTCAGTGTGTGACCTGATTGTACAAATCTCTTGACACAAAATAACAATTTTTTAAAAAGCAGTTTTGTTTATACTTCCTACTATAGCGTGAAACTTAAAATAAAAACATAAGTGATTTTGAAAACTCGACTAAATGTGACAAAAAAATATATATCAATCACAAATAGATGAAGAGTATCCACTGTAAATCTTCGAATGGTTATAAGGTTTTGAGATTTGGCAAAACATATGATCCATTATAAACATTTACTCAGTGATTGAGTATGCCTAATCCAATGACAACGAAAATAAAGAAAAAATTATTTTCAAGCAAACCAAGTTAAAAATCTAAACGAATACAAAATTACCCTGAGTCTACTTATTGTCATATACAGATTGATAAAACTATTTCTTTTGTTACTGAAGTTCTAATGCAAGCCAAACCAACAACAAATCGATAAATAACTTTATATGAAAAAGTGATAAAAAAAAACTTATGTTTGGCCTAGCTTCTACAGTTTTTGAAAAAAACAAATGAAAAGTTTTTATATATTCTCAAAACTTGGCGTTTATATTGGAAAACATATGAATAAAGAAAAAATGTACCAAATGCAAACCGCATAAGCAGTGTTTTTAAAAAAGCTAGCAAACTGGGTTTTGCAAGACTAAAAACCTAAAGCAAACCAAAGCAAGTAAAATCTAATTTATCGGTGTTTTTTAGCTTTGTATCACACAAAGTTTTAAACTTTAGATTAAAACTAAAATTTGTTTTAAGTTATTTTATTTCATTTTTTTTTTTATTATTATTAATATTATTTTGTTGCTATTTTCATAATTATATATGATGATAGCAACGAAAATAATAGTACTTTGCATATATTATTACATTTTTGCTATTTTCGCAAGAACCAGAGCGTCAAAAAGAACTAACGACTTATCTCTCTATCTTAACAAAAGTTTTGAAATATATAAGCCCATTTAACCAACGTCTTAGGGTTATATAAGTATATATCAACGTTTCATTTTATTTTAGAGTTCTATTACCTGCTTTTCAACTTATTTTGACAATTTTTTGTTCAATGGTTATATTACGATCATAATCTATTTTTTAATTTAACAGTTTTAAGTGATATATGAATGTTATATTTTTAAATAAAAAAGAAAGCTATTTAGACATTTTGCACTTTATGCAGTATTTATCAGTTAACACCAAAATAAAACCACAATAGTTATATAATAATAGAAGAACATGAAAGTCATATTAAAAACGCAGAAACAATTGCAGATATAAATAACACGTAACAACTGCAGGTATGAATAACACGTAACAACTGCAGATATGAATAACACGTTACAACTGCAGATATGAATAACTTGTTACAACTGCAGATACGAATGACATGTTACATCTTCAGATATGAATGCAAAGATTGCGACAACTGTAATTTATATTTGAATAATTAAATAATGACACTTTTTGTAAAACTGCAATGATTGGAGTATGGCTCCAAAAGAATGAGTTGTAAACAGCAAATCAATTACAACTGATTCTCGTATTCGGTAAAATAGTTTCGTAAATTTACAAAATCGACGTTTTTTGTATGCAAATCTAAATCAATTTTTTGTAAAAGTTTACTAACTTCATAAAATCGACTATGTGTGTGATGCAAAAATATATGCATGATGATGAGGCATGATTGCAAACTGAAGCATAGTGATTTAACCTTTTGAAGCATCTGACCTACACGACCATTATGAATAAGATAAAAGCTTGGGCGCAGCAAGCTTTTCCTTTAATATTTTACGTTTTTCTGTTCGTAGCAACTACGATAAATTAATACTTTAATTAAGAGTTTTCTTTTCTTTTTACAGAAAAATAATTGAGAGTATTAATGCACTTGCGAATACTCTATTTAATTCAATGCCCAGCACAAGAGAAATAAAAAAATCTTCTGTTCTTTTAAACTTGCTTTTGCTCGCTTGTAATCTAGAGGATTACAAGCGAGTCATTTTTTGTTCTCCAACTCTAGATGTAATTATATAAAAGTATATAACAATATAATAATAAAATAAAATAAAAACTAAAACAAAAACAATTTACACAAAACTGAATTAATAAAATTGGAAAGTTTAAAAAACCACGCATGTAAACCTATTAGAAACACATTCAAAATTGCATTTTCTTGATTTTCCAGACATGCTAAGTGCGAGGATCTACCAGACATGCTATTGGCGTGGATCTACCAGACATGCTACTTGCGAGGATCTACTAGACATGATATTTGCGAGAATCTACCAGACATACTATTTGAGTTACCGCATCATTTTCCATGAAATTATCTTTAATTTGTAAAAAACAAAAATATTTTGCAGTTGATCCACTTGAGAAATTTTAGGAGTAGAATCTACAATAATTTGATTTTGATATTTTGAGTTTCATTTATAATGAAATATATAATGTGAATTATTATTAAAACATTTTGAAACAAAATTATTAAAACATTTTGAAACAAAATTGATTAACTCTCCAAAAATGATTTCAAGCAAATGAGATTTTTTATTTTTTGATTTGTTTTAAAGTTAAGCCAACATTTCAAACAAGTAATTTTCATTTTTTGATGATCATATAACTTCTTTAAAGCCACAAAATGTTAAACCTCATTCAGCTAAAAAGCAAACAATTACTACTATTTTATTCAAAATCAAAGCCCAATAATTAATCTCTTCTCTCATCTGTCTTATCATTTAAACATCAATAAACTTATTTGTTTTACGAATTGTATCCACTTTATCGTTTATTAATTGTCTAAATACTATTTTACATGGAATTGTTGTCATGTTAAATAATACTTAGAGGAAAAAAAAAACAACCTTTTTTTGATTATTTAAATGTTATTAAAAAGTATATTGAGAAGTGATGATTAATAAGTAGGGGAAGTGGGGGCATAACCGCCCCCGTAACGTTTGGATTAATGTTATACAAAAATAAAAACGAAATATGTTTTTTTAGCAGTTTATTTCAATAATGACATCATTAAGCTTTAAATTGATGCATTTAAGTAAAAAATTGAACGGGTTTTGAAAATGTTATTACGCAAAAATTACACTTAGTGAAATAAACGGTTTTTCCCCCATTGTGAGGCACAACCGCACCCTGACAAAAATCGATGGGGCTGCACCTTTCATGGTACATTTTTTTTACAATTTTCACAGCTCAGATTATTTGATGACTTTGTTGCATGTTTGCATACTGTGCAGGCATTTTTTGTATTTACATTTTGAGTTTTGCCCCAAAAGAGAGTTCTGCCCAAGAAGAGAGTTTTTTAGAAGAATTGAGTTTCATAGCTTAATTATTAGATTATGGTATTATCGAAAATGGTTTTCACTTCATGAAATAATGCTGTTAACACATATCTTTAACACTAAAATCAAATATTGCATAATTATCAAAAAGAAGGTCAGGAAAAATATGATATAAATATAATATTTTTATCAAAGTAAACATTATTATTCACAACTTCTCAGAAACTTAACAGTCACTCTTTTTGACATATGCAAAATGAAGGAAACTGTTTTACTAACGCGTGGTATGTTTTTTGCCATATTAGATAACATTTGAAGAGAAATGTTAAAAAACGGTTGTGCCTCCATATGCGGTTATGCCCCCACTTCCCCTATATTGTTTTGTTTTAATCATGAAAACTTATGCATTGATAAAATGAGTACAAAGTAAATGCCAGTTACATAAGTTCATGATCTATTATAAATTCATTTTTAAACAACAGGTTTTGTATAAAAAATAGATTAAGATTAAAATCAGTAGTAATCCAAAAACGTCTTTAAGAGAGTTGGTTGTTTGGAGTTTGAATTAAAAAGTTTCAAAATATGATTTAGACTGTTAGATATGTTCAAAATTGGACTTTGAAAAAATACCATACTCAATAGTCAAGTTCATTACGCGAAGTAGATTCATGATCTGTAACACTTCCAACTTCGAATGGTTAGTGCGGGCTACTTCATATTCACTGTTAATGCTGTCATCTTGTTTGATGTTTTTTATCTTCGATTCTGTATTTTTTTTTTATATTGACGATCTGATTGCATTTTTGTTTAATTTGGTAGAAAAAAAACTGGCATTTCTCATTCTTTAGCTGTAATTTGCTCTCTCTCTCTCTCTCTCTCTCTCTCTCTCTCTCTCTCTCTCTCTCTCTTTGTCTCTCCAACCTTCTTGTAGAAACCCCGCTCTTATAATTCTTATGCATAATGCATAAATCTCAAAATATTACGTTTGTTTTTCGAAACCACTGTTGCCGAGCGATTTGAATTCTTTTCGTCCATCCAAGTCCAAACCACAAATTTTTAATGCAGTATTTTACATAGTGTTAAATTTGCAAATTTGCGAATTTAACTTTTCTCATTTTTTAAGTTCATTAAAATTTTTTAAAATTAAAGAGAAGCCTTTAATTTTGAATCAAGGTCCCAAAAACTGCGGGCCCCGGAGTTATAACTTCTTCCACTTAAAACTAAAATAACATAACTGATATTTTTATAAGGGTGTTTGGTATTTAACAATTTCTAGATAAATTTTATTTTGCAGAATAAATCTATTGAGTTTTTTAGGCTTGCACAAGCTCATTTAATGTACACACATTCTTACGCCTATCATGTCAGTCAATCCATAATTAAATTTGGAATGTTGTATTACACATCATACTACATACGATATTGAAACAAAAATTGGACTTTAAAAAGAATTAAAAAATCACAGCAATATATTTATCAATTAGAATGTGTATAAAATTATACAAGTAGTTTTTGTAGGTAGTAAAATTTTACTACTTACAAAAACTACTTCTATAACTTTATACACATTCTAACTGATGAATATATTGTTGTGATTTTATTGTGATAAATTATAGACGCCTATTACTAGTTAACTAATAATAGGCGTCTATAATTTATTAATGGTAACCTGTTACTAATATAATCAATCTGATTGGCTATGAGTAAAACAAATTCATTTTTTTCTTACTGCCTAATGACATTAATGGCAATAAAATAATGATAAAGGAGTAATAAAAATATAATAATAATGACAAAATAAATGCAACTTACCTGATAATATTTCATTTAACGAAAGTGAAAAATAACTAGTAAAAAGTATAAATACCAAGTTAATAATAAACGCCATTTAAAAAACACTTTTTTTTTTTAATTTAAAAAACACTTTTTAATTAAATATTTTTAGATTTAGTTTAAGCAAACATTGCCGAAAGAACTAGCAAATGTTTATATAACAGAGAAAAAATAGCAGCGTGAGTCAGGCTTATACACCCTGAAAAAAAAAATAACATCGAATACACCCTGGAAAAAAAAGTGCTAATAATTTTATGACTCATTAATTTCATATCAAAGTAATTAAATGTATCATTATCATTGATGTTTTCTCTAACGAGAACGAAATTTATTTTAAGAAAGAATCCGGAATCATTTTTAATTTTTGAAGTGAATCGAAAATTATTATAGGAAAATTTTTTTTTTTTTTTCTATCAGAAAACAGAAAAGCACAAAAAAGCGAAGATAAAAAAAAATTTATAGATACAGATATGTGGATTAAGACTGCTTAGGAAAAAGAAATATCCAAAATTCAAAAGAAACATTATTAATCATATTAATTACTTTATTATGAGGCTATTGAAGTGAAATTTATAAATCTTGTACTTCTTAAAGAATATCAAATTTTTTTTATTATTTAATCGTATGTTTATAAAATTTTATTTCGTGATTATTAAAAAATAAGTGTTAATCAGGATCCCTGTTTAACTTTTTCGCAACCAACCGTTTTGACAAAAATTTTTTCGCAACAAACTATATATCTATAGAAAGGTAAACAAATTATTTATTTTTAATTATATAAGTTTTGTGAAGCTTATTTTCAAAAACCACTATCAGCGGCGTGCGGTTAGAAATGCAAAAAAAAAACCGTTTCGATTATCTTTTTTTTTTTTTTTTTTGCAAAAAAAAACTTTTTTTGTATGTGCGTGTTTTTTTTTTTGTTTTTTATTGTTTTTTTTTTATTTTTTTTTTTTTTGAAATGCAGTTTTTTTAAAAATAAAAAAACTTATTACTTGTTAGTTTAAAATTTATCATAGTGTCAACAATTAATGCAAAATTTTAAATATCTAAAAAATGATTTTAATTGTTTTTTAAACAACAGGTTACTGAACCAACCCTACTTAACATACAGAATGTTTAGTAACGTCGGTTATGTACCATTGTCAAGAATAAATTCTTGTCTTTGACTTTGAGTCATAGACTATTCTGCATTAGGTATTTGATTTTCAAGATCTAAATTATGGGAGAAAAAAACTAATTTTAATATTCTGTCATCTGGCCGGATTAACCCCAGTGGGGCCCCTAAGCCATGTTACTGTAGGAGCCCATTCCTCCACGAGGGTCCTTGGCTGTGACTCCCAGTAAAATGTTAAAGGAAAAATGGTTTATACATCTTTTTTGAATTTCTTTTTAAAATAACCTAGCATTTTTGTTCAAATAAGATTTTGTTTTTAATTATAGTGTCTACTATAATAAAGTCGTCAATAATGTTTCTTTGTTTGGTTTATTCATGGTCAAAAAAATTTACAAGTTATTGACAAAGAGTGGCACACCAGGTCACTCTGTGATAAAAATACAGTTTTTAGATTTCAGTTAAAGTTAAGACGCGTGAGCAAAGAATGTTCGTATTTGAAATTGTTCAAGTTCATTGAGTCCACCACATTTTGGGTTAGAGTACTTTATGGTTTGACAACACGGTTGTTAAAAAAGTTATTTCTTTCTGCGCAGTTTTGTATAAGTTGCGCTTTTAGTTGTTTTGCGTTTCCACGCGGTCGAAGACTGTACTTTAAAGACTCGGTGTTGAAGCTGAGGGACTGAGAAATTAATTTTGTCAATTTTGCTGATAATTTTGTTTTGCTCAATAAGGTTTCCTCTTTCTCATAGTTTGGTTAGCGTTGTCAGGTTAAGTCTTGATAGTCTCAGAATATAGGGCAAGTGTTTTAAGTTTGCATTATGTTTTGTGGCTCGGTGTTAAACTTGCTCAAGTTTAGGTATGTCTTGAAATAGTGATGGATTGTATTGCAAATTCTAAGTGTGAGCGAAAATATGAAGTATGCAGTGTGCGCCATAATGCTGAACTTCAACCTGCCAAGCATTCGGTTGCCAGCTGATGCAGCCGTAAAGGCTTTTTTTTAAACTTCAGATTGGTAGTCATAACAATGCTTAGGTCTTTTTCAGATGTTGCGCATAAAAGCTGATGCAGTCGGCCTGTCAAGTTATTTATAGTGTAAATTACAGTCAATTTTTTTATCTTTAGTTTTTAAATTTTGTATGGCCCGCTGTGCCATTGTATACTCTGCTTGTGCCTAAACCCTGTATTTAAAATCAAAATCTATTTTGCTTTTAATTGTGGATTAAATATTGTCAACTAAACAATTTTTCAACTGCCGTAATTGTTGAAAAAATAAAATTGTTAAAAAAATAAAATTTACCCAGTTAACCAACCCAACTGGTACCCAGCTGCTCTAAATTTCATAGCCATTAATAAACTTGAGAGTATAAGTGTTGACGTTTACTTTTTTACAGGCTTGTAAAATGTTTTATCAAACTGAAGACATACTTTTTATTTTTTTATGCAATAGACAAATGTTGAAAACTTTTCAAATTAGTTTATATGGTTTGGTGTGCTAACAGTTATGGCTTTGTCACTAAATTACAAAAATGAAATACACTAAGTTAGTGTGTTTCGTTTTAAATTATTTTTTTCAAGTAAATTTCAATGTCACTTTACAAAATATGGTAAGGTTTTACAAAGTAACACTTTACATATTATTTATAAATACATAAATGTTTTACATTTTCTATAATTTATATAATTAATAATATATTACTTATATTATGAATACTGTAATTGATATTATAAGTTATAATATAAGGTTTTGTATGAAAAAATGTTTCAATCATTTATATTGTGAATTATTTGTACATAATAGTAAAACAAAAATTGTTAGGTGTTTTAACGTTTAACTTTATTTGTCTGTAATAATAAAAAAGTTATCACATTTTGTTTGAATATATTTATTTATTAAATACATTTCTTAAATTCTTTCAAATATAAAAGTGTATATATTTTGATAGCAATATTCAGACATTTGTTTAAGAAACAAATTGACTAGTCTAAAAGAGCGTAATATTGAGTTTTAAGGTTTTAAGATAATTTTTAATTAATTATCACAGGATGTACTACTACATTTTCAATTTTATATTGCACTTGAGTAGCATTTTATGATTGTATATTTAATTTATTTCTCTACATAATCTAAAAAAGTTAAAAAGTACAAAAATAACATAAATAAAAAATGTATTACCAAAAAAATTTGATATCTTTTTTATAACTTTGTAAATAAACATATTATATATGACTAAATGATATCATATAATAACACAATGAAATTGACTTACTATAGCAAGTGAAAAATACAAAACATTCATGATTATTATAATAATCATGAATGTTTTGTATTTTTCACTTACTATAGTAAGTCAATTTCATTGTGTTATTATATGATATTATTTAGTCATATATAATATGTTTATTTCCAAAGTAAATATCTCAAACTGTTAGTCTATAGAGTTTAATAAAATAAATAAAATAATTTCTGTATATTAAAAATATATAGAATTTGCAAAATATACAGGTTTCTCCTATTATTATTACATGGGCTTCTGTGAATGGATAAGTTCTAAGTTATCTATGTATAATGATTTTTTAAACCAATTAACTAGGGTGTTGCATATTTTTTAGAATCTGCTGTGAAATATATTTAATATATAATCACAAAATGAAGCTCTAAGACAACATGAAATTAAACAATAAATTTTGGTTCATGATAATTGAAATGCGTTATTTTTGACTAATCATGAATATAACTATTATATATATATATATATATATATATTAATATAAGTACTCTATGCTTGTTTATAATTGTAAAATTCATTGTGAAAATAATTTTAATACAAAATTTATTGTGGTCAAAACTACAATTGTTTTAAATTTTTTTCAATACATTAAATTGTAACAAATAATTATTTTCAAGTAATAATATAACCTAAAATGATCATCGTTTAATTAGATACAATCTAAATGTTAGTGATATTAACTATTTTTGCATTTATTAAATTATATAAAAGATATTAAACCCTAACCAACTGGTTTAAGGGTTTGATGTCAGGTTAACTTGAGTCAAGACTTTAAATTTTAAATGGTATCATAGTAGTCATGTTATATTATTGTTGTTAACAAGTCTAATTATGTCATGCCTAATCAGGGCCGTCCCGAAGGAGGTGGGGGAAGGGGTGTCGGGGTGTCCCCCCCTCCCCCAAAGCTGTCATATACGCATTTGAGTTGGCACATTGAGCAAGTTTTGCTCAATATGAAATGCTTTTTGAGTTGATATAATAAATATAGTTGGCAAAATGCCAACTGAAATGCTTTTTGAGTTGGCATTTTGCCAACTATATTTATTAATATAGTTGACATTTTGCCAACTTTATTTATATTAAAGTTATAGTTAGCAAATTTAAATATAAATATAGTTTGCTATATTTATAGTTGGCAAATTGCAAGTATTGAGGACCTTTTTTTTTCTTTTTTTTTTTTTCTTTTTTTCTTTTTTTTTTTTTTTGTGTGTTCTTAGTTGGCAAAAAAATACTTACACCCCCACCCCCCACGGAAGACCTCTTCGGGACGGCCCTGTGCCTAATTAATAACATCAAACATTTACCGTAAAAATAACATTGTTTTAGATTCCCTGCTGGATGCCTGTTAAAAAGAAAAACTGAAGAAACTTTAAAACTAGACGATGGCAACTGAAGAAGTTGAAACACCGTTATTCATGGTGTCATATCGCGGCTTTAGTTCTCCAGTATTTATTTTTGTATTTTATTATATATGTTATGTTTATTTTTTATTTTTGTTATTTTTGTAACTAAAAGCTATGTGAAAAATAATTGTTCTGCCATAGGCCTCTACTTCAATCTTGCTATTGTTATAACACGTATACCGATTTATATACTGTATTGAGTTAGCTTGTGATTTGTACGTGTGTTTTTGTTTGCCTAGTGTTTGTTAGTTATATGGAAGATATGACATGGTATAGTACACTGCATGGAATGCCCTTAAATAATATTATCAATAAATATTTTTATCTATACTTTGTAAATATATATGCTATAAATTATTATATTATTCAAATGTTTATTTTGAATTTATAAAATTAGTGTAAAAGAGGATGAAAGCACTAAAGAAGCGTAACGATAAACTTTAAAGCAGAATTTTGTCATGCGATTAAGATGGTGATATGAAAGAACTAATGTGGCAGTATATTACTATCGTAGAACAGTTTTGCATCAAATCATTGTATAATATTAGTTTTTTGTTGATTAAAAATATTATGAAATTCAAATCTGTTTTTTCAATTGATTCGTAAAAATTATGTCAGACCAAATATTTATTAGCCTAATACATTTTATTGCCCTAACAGCGAATTTAATATAGATAATATGAATAACTTTTACTTTTTAATTTTATATAAAAAAATGCGACGCTTTTTAATCAAAAAATTGTCACATTATTTCGCAGATTCAAGATACAAATCTGCGAAAAACAAACTATAAAAAATTGAGAAAACCTGCGGTAATTGAAAAAATATCTGGGTTCAATATGGGATTTCCTGTTAAAAACCCAGACTATTTCCAGATGGGTCCAAGCATTTTTCCCAGTTAGGTCTTAGCCGGGACCCAGTTGGAATGGTTAACTAGGTAACTAGCAGCATTGAACGATAGTAGAGCATTAACATCTAAAATTTAAAGAATACTAAAAAAGACTTAAATTTTTTTAAAGTTGAAACTCTACTTGCGGTAATGAAAGATTTTATGACGTTCATTTCAAAGTTTTCAGTTTTCAGGTAAAATTTCCTAAAAGAAAGAAAGTGGAGTTGTAGGTCAAAAAAAGACGTTTGTTAAAAATTAAGCACAAAAGTGACTTCTTTATAATGTTCTGAAAATTCTGCCAAGTCCGAAGAATTAGAAGATGCTGGATTAAATTCAACTGAGAAAGAACTCTGGCTCAACATCTAATGATGCTGAAACGATATCTGAAAATAACTTGACAAGATATTCAAAGAATTCTAATTATAGAAAGTCTGCTACTTCTGAAGAATTAGAAGAGTAAGTGTGAATGCAGCCGAAAAAGAAGTGATAATGAAAAGATTTTTTTGGACTTGTCATTCAGCTACGTCTCATTCGTTTACAGTATCTGTCCCTGTATGCTCTAAAAACTTTTTTCGTCAAGTTTTTTTCCACGCACTTTAACCCTTTAGAACTTTTTTCTATTTTCATTTTTATTTGACTCATACAACCTACAACTCAAGTCTTTGTCAACCATTTCCTTGCTCTATAACTCTATTCTTTATTTTCTAGTAACTCCTAACTTAATAGTGGTTACTTGCAGCTTTTTTTGGAATGAATCCGAATTAAGAAAATCAAAAATTAAAATTATGATTAAACACGAAAAATTAGTGAAAGTTATCCTAAATATAATGGACAATGAAAGCGTGATTAGTGTAATCAAAAGCGACAAAAAAGCAATTGTATAACTGAATATTAACTTTATAAAGTTACTAAGGTTGTGGAACAAGATTTTAGGTTGTATTGACCGCGTTAAAAAGTTGTTGCAGGATCCTAAAATGAACTTTCATGGTGCAGCTTTAGATTTAAAAACTCACCAAAATTATTTTCATGATGAAAGAGAAGTGTTAGTGATTCACTGAAAGAAGGAATTTGAATATGTAATAAACAAGACATTGAATTTGAAAGACGTCAAAAAAAAATGGATGACATAACATTGAGAGATGCTGGATTAGTAGCTAAAGAAAAAATCGAAAGGGTTATGAAATGTCGACTGTCTATTCAAATAAATAAAAAGTAGAAGCGTTCGTTTACCAGAAATTGATGAAAACTTGGATCTCTTCTAGATATGGAAAGGTTGCGTATTAAAACTGAAAAAAGCTACCTAAAAATGCATTGTAAAACTTTTAAGGAAGCCAACAGTTGTGATGTGGATGGCCAAAAATTATCTTTTTTTTTTTACTTTTTTGGTTTTTACATTTGTTGATTATTGTACAACTTTATATAACCAATAATAAAAATAATAATATAAAGTTTACAGTTATAGAAAATAAAACAAATATAAACAATGTATCTGAAGGAAGATTGCGAGGATCTTGTCGTCAGAACCTTAAATAAACATTTAACAAGGATAAGATAAACATAAATTTAATAAACTTTTAAAAAACTGAAAGGTAAATAATTTATGTATCTGAAGAGAGATCAAGTGGATCTTCTTATTAGAAAATTATTAAAAAGTTAAAGTCAATTTTAAAGAACGTAAAAACTAATCCGTAACATTTATTAGACTTTTGTTACGGAAAAATTTCGTTTTCAAAAAACTATAGTCTTTTACCATACTTTTAAGACTTTTGAAACACATGCATCATTTTATATGATTTCGTTCATGTTTATGATAAGCAGAATTTCCGTTACTTTAAATTATGGACTTTAACTGTATATTTTAGTATACTTCAACTACTTATTAAAATGGTCCCATTTCACTTTTTTTCGAGAAGAAATTATACACGTATATAGTACACACGATTTTACTATTATAATTACCAAAATATGCGGATAATAAAGACGTTTTTGATTGAGTTCGTTTTTTAAATTTAGATAACTGGTTCCCAAGTTATGACAATTTATGTTGGGTTTAATAACACCTACTTTGCTTCAAGATTTGTTGAGTTTTCCTTAAGGATTTATGGCACCAATTTTTGATGATATATTTATTTTTCAAATGCTATCAATGAGAAGGAGTTTCATTGAAGTACTTATGTTAAATTATTTTTATTGTTTTTTTTTTTTACTATAGAATCAAAGCATTCAATTCTACAAATTATCATTCTCATATTAGGAGCCCCTAGGTAAGGATTCCACTGCTCGTTTGCCCCATTAGGGGCAATTGGATTAAAAGCTATAAAAGCTTTGTTAAAACCGTAAAAATTAACTTTATTTAAAGAAATAGAGTTTTTTCAAACTGTCAGAATAAACAAATTCATTAACATTTATAAATATCAAGAAAAAACGTAAAAATCTTAAGGCTAATTTCCCCCATTCAGGGCAATTGGGCCAAGAACAATCAAAGTTCTGTACAAATAATAAAATTTAATTTTATTAAAAAAAAAGAGGCTTTTTTAAACCGTCAGAACAAACAAACTCATTTATATTTATAAATATTAGGTAAAAATGTAAAAATACAGAGCTCGTTTTCCCATTTTGGGGCATATTGGGCCAAGAGTACAAAAAGCTCTGTTAAAACCGTAAAAATTAACTTAAGTTAAGGAAAAAGAAAAAGTCAGAGTGAAGAAATTCATTTACATTTATAAATATCACGGAAATATGTAAAAATCTTAGGGCTTGTTTTCCCCAATCTGGACGATTGGGCCAAGAACTATGAAAGCTCTGTATAAACAATAAAAATTAATTTTAGTTAAAAAAAATAGCTTTTTCAAATTATTAGAATGTACAAATTCATTTTATTATAAATATTAGAAAAATATGTAAAAATACTCAGAGCCTGTTTTCCCGTTTTGGGGCAAATTGGGCCAAGAGTACAAAAAAATCTGTTAAAACCGCGAAAATTAACTTTAGATGAAGAAAAAAAGATTTTTGAAACTGTTAGGGTGAACAAATTCAGTTACATTTATAAATATCAAAAATATGTGTAAAAAGTTCAGGTCTAATTCCCCGAATCGAGGCGATTGGGCCGGAAATAATTAAGGCTCTGTAAAAATAGTAAAAATTAACTTTAGTTAAAGAACAAGTACTTTTTCATATTGTCAGACTAAACAAGTTCATGCACATTTATAAAAACCCAAAATATATGTAAGAATCCCAATGCTTGTTTGCCCCATTTGGGGCAATTGGGTCAAAGACAATGAAATTTCTGTAAAAAACAAAAAAAAAAACTTTAGTTAAAAAGAGAAAGCTTTAATATATTGTAAGAGCAAAAAAATTCGTTTATATTTATAAAAATCCAAATTTTCCAGAACAAAATGTCTTTGTAAACCATAGAAATAGAATGCCTGGTTTTGTCCAACCGCTATCTGAAACACTCCGTATACTTTCTTGTGGGACATTTTCAAACCAAAAACTCGAGAGAGAATTAATAGTTCTTCTTTTAAATATGAAATGTGGTAGAACAGAGTTACCCATTGCGTTGACAAAAGTTATTACTTTGATTGTTTCCCGATTACCTAATTGACAATATTGTAGATACTTAACTCTTTTTTTAGCAACTGCTTTTCCAAGATAATAATCAAACTGCATCCCAGTCTCATCCATATTCCAAATGTTTTGCGGTTTCTGAAGTAAGTTATTTTCCCTTAACACATTTTTAAGAATGGAAAAATATTTTGACACTGATTTGATCTGATTTCTAAAGCTGCACGATTATATGCAAAATCAACTAATTTCTTTTCATCTAAAATAGTTGGGTGTCCAGGTTTGGCTCCCATTTCCGTTACTCAAAAAAGTCAAACTTTTAACAAACATCTTAGAATGTCAAAAACTTTACATGCTACTCGCTGTGAATCTCCATTTTTAACAGCTTTAATTGCTGATATCATCGATTCATCATTCCATAAACGGTGTTTTCTGTGTTTACTTCTCTGTTTTTCAATTTTTGTTGAATTTTCTGTTTTTTTAGTTTGTTTTTTTTCATTCATATATACATATATATATATATAAATATATATATATATATATATATATATATATATATATATATATATATATATATATATATATATATATATATATATATATATATATATATATATATATATATATAAAATATTAATTTTTTAAATAATAATAAATCTATCACAATCATTCTCATATTTGATAGTATCAATATTAATATATATATATATATATTCAAAGTTTTCCATATATATATATATATATATATATATATATATATATATATATATATATATATATATATATATATATATATATATATATATATATATATATATATATATATATATATATATATATATATATATATATATATATATATATATTTAATCCGTATTAATTAACATATAGCATATTATTTGAAGAAAGGTAATTATAAATTACGTTATATAAAATTCTCTTTAAAACTTTTGAAAAAACAGACAAAACAGAAATTGGGTAATAATTAGAAAATTGATTGCATTACGAGCTTTGAAAACTGGAGTTTCTTTAGCTATTTTTAGAAAATCAGGAAAAACGTCCTGTTTTATTGA